TATATATATATATATAACTTTTTTATGACCCACATTTTTCAACTCAGGGCTTCAGGATCGATGCTCTTTAAGCGAAAATTCCGGAAAATTACGAGGTCGTACCGTCTGCAATAGGTAGATATTTCTTCGAAATCTACCTAAAAATACCTTAACAATCAGCACCCCACCAACTTCCAGAAACTGAATTTAAAAAAATGCATGCAACAACCCCATTGTGCTTGTAAATAGTGAATTATTTTCAAAAAGGAATGAGAGCCCTCATTGGTTAGCAAAAGTGTGTAACCACTCAATCTTCCCACACTTTTTTTTCAGCCAATCAGACACCCACTTTTTCATTTCTAATGGAAATTACGAGGGTTGCCCAGGAAGTAAGTTCACCAATTCAATATCTCCCAAACCAAGGTAAGTAAAGAAAATCTGTAACAAGCACTGAAAAGCCATTATTTTCAGCTTTTCATCAAGCTGTAGATTTTTGAATTTGGTTTGATAGAACTCTAGAAAAGTGGATTTTTCTGAACCCGCCTCCTCTCCCTGCGGGTCCCAAATTTCACCGAGCGCCATCAACAAGTGAGCTGCTGTATCTATTGCTTATTGCAAAAAAAGTGGCTTAAAGATGGTTGAAAATCTTGTAAAACTCGAGGGAGAGCATTAATCAGCTAGGAAATTGCAGGATTACTCGATAATCAGTGGGTCTGGACCGCAGCGTTGTGAAAAGTTTATGCTACAATTGTTTAACTAGTGGAGTTGTGTCGCTGAATTTTGTTCCAGTATGTGAATTGCTTGCTATAATTCGTCCTTTAACCAAGAAAAATAACCATGGCTGCTCAAATTCAGGATAATTCACAGCGAAGATGTTTTAAAAGCAGCATATTCTTCAAAATCATGCATCTTTGACGAAATTTTCACAAGAACAGGCAGAATAATGTGGAGGAAGGCCTATGAACAAATTCAGTCAGTAAGTGAGAGTTATAACGCTGACAATTACGTTAACTTCTTTAGGATACAACTGACTTTAAAGTAAACACAGTCAATCGTGCAATTTCCAAGCTGACAAATGTTCTTCCTCATGTTTCACATAATTTTCAACGATCCTTAAGCAACTTTTTTGGGGTGACCGCTTCCTGACATTTTGGACCCGTGCGGAGAGGAGGTGGGTTTAGAAAAATCCACTTTTCTTGTGTTCTATCAAACTAAATTTATAAATCTATAGCGCGTTGAAAAGCTGAGACTAGAGGCTTTTCAACGTTTTTTACAGATTTTCTTTATCTTAGTTTAGGAGATGTTTAATAGGTAGACTTACTTTCTGGACGATCCTCGTAACATTGGAAATCAAAACGTGTACTTTGTTTTTTAATTCAGCCATTTTTTTGGCTAAAATATGTCCTGGGCTGGCTTTTCGTCGGAATTTCTATTTCTATTCATGTAATTGTTTCCACTTTTTCCCAGAATTGTCAAAAATCTTGATATTTTCAATTTCAATTTTCTTTCAGTCAGGTTGATTTTCTGACTAGAGAGCGGACGAGATGGTCAAAAACATCGTCCCAAGTAGGAGAAAATTGAAATTCCCAAAGTCAAGATCTCTAATGTTTTTTGGAGAAAGTGGAGCGCAATACATCAACAGAATTGCTAAATCCAACGCAAAGCCAGCCGTGGACATATTTTTGACAAAAAATTAGCTAAATTCGGAAAAAATACATGGTTTCGATCTCTCATGCTGTTTTCCGCAAGAGATGGAAGAGTGGGTGTCTGAAAAAAAAAGGACGGTCATACACTTCTGCCAATACTAATGCAGGCTCCTTCTTTCTCCTCGATATTTCTACTCTCTGAGAAGATTTGACTTAGGCTGTTTTAGTTTCAGCATTGAGCTTTGAAAAAATATAAAAATCTTTTTTTTGTTTTATGGCTTTTCTCTAATTCAAAATCATGATTTTTTTTTTAGGTATGATGGAAAAATCCCCTTATTATTCAATCCTTTTCTTTTTCTTGAAACTGTATCAGAAACTTACCTACTTTGGTTGTTTTCAAGCTCATAAGTGAGGGGTTGCCAGTTTGGCCACAAGCGACCTTGATCTTGAGAGACTGGCTTAAAGCTTAACTTTTGACCAACCCTTTCTCCTCAGTGCGGGACTAAACGGTAAACGCGTAGTGCATCAGACCATTTAATTTGTGATCCTTGTCAACACAGAAGGAAGGCCCTGTTTTAGACAGCAAGTGCCCCGGGGCATATCAGCAGCCTCAACCAAGGATTCTCCTTCCCAGAAAAACCCAATCCTCCATGCTGTTTGTGTCTTTGTTTTAGCTATGTCATGATTCCTAGATTTTTCTGTGGAACCAAGCCTGCAAGACCCTGTTGCCAAACGGTTCCTTTTCATGTGAGACTGTCTGAACAAGTCTGAACTCAACTCTCTTGTTTAAAATTGCTCATGCTCCAAAGATAGCATTCAGTGACATCTGCAAGGGTTGGGGACTCGTGTACCTGAGAGCGCCTGCACCTGTGAAACTACCTGCTAAATGTCTCAGTATCCGAATTGAGAAGTCCTTGAATTTTTGGACAGACTGTAAGATTTATAAATGTAGTGGCATTTGTGTCATTAAAAGAGGGAAAAAATCAGAGACTGTTGCTGAGTTACTCTTCTCTTTTTGACCGTATTAATATTTATATCACAGTTTTTAATTTTACGTTTGTGAATTTCAAGTTACGATTGGTAGATTTTTTTTTTTTTCTGATAAATTGGCTATTAACTTTTTTTTCCTCACAGAGTGTGAGTAACGGAAGCCCACTAATTGACTACAAATCTAATTTTGAAGCACCAATTGAAAACCTAGATGACTACTGCCTCCGCTCCATTTTTAGTCTCTTACCACACATGGAGCGGATAAAAATTGAAAGAGGTAGCTACATTTTACTTATTTTTCCTCTTTTATCTTTTTGATTTGACATCTTCACTCTAAACAGTTTGAGCAGTCGCATTTGAGCAACCTCTCATTATTTAGTCCAAATGCCCTCTAATTTTAACAGCCCTCATTGTTTTTAACAAGTGCAAGACAAAAATCAAAACCGCTTCAGTTATTATTATAAATGACAGGAAGTCTGCAACGTTGTACACGAAAATAGGTGGTTTCACTTTTTAGCTATTGATATATTACAACAGGAAGGCCATTTCAACCCCTGAAGTAACCGGATGGCCCATTCACTTTTTGATAAGAGTAAAACAGTAATAGAAAACACAGCCCTGCAAATTTTTGGTCATGTCATACTGCGGGGAATTTTTTTAAATGATTCCTGTGTACATTCAGGGCTAAATTCGGGGAAGATGTCCGAACTGTTCCATCACATCTTTATTTTTCGCAAATTAAAAATTTTGGATTTTTGGGGGTAAAATTTTCAGAAAATATTTGATTCAATTTTTTTCACCCACACCTCTGCTAAATATTAATTTCTAGGAAATTTTCTGCCCCCACAAATCCACTGTTTAGGGTACCTCCAAGTCACCTGATAATGGCACAGGAGGGGGTGCAGAACCTATGAGAATGTGTTGAAACATACTAATGGATTCTGATGCTCCTGAAAAACCCGAAAAAGTGGATATCAGGGGCAGAACATCTTTTAGAAAATTTAATAGTAGATATTTTGGCCGAAAATTGGGGTCTCTTGGGGCAACAATCATCTGTAATTGGAAAAATTTCGAAAAAGATTGACACTTAAAAGCTTTTTTTTCCATGATATGGTGTCGGAGAAGTATTCGTCTCCAAATATCCACCATAAAATCTTCCGAATTTAGGAGGATACTCAACAACGCTTCTCTCCGTCTTTTTCGCTGATACACACCATGATCAGCGCATACGCGTCCTAGAGAGGATTTGCGATCGGCAGACGCCGCATGGTGGGGTCGAGGGAGTTCGGGCAGAGCATTTTGAAATTCGTTGCTGAAGGGAGCTGTGGCTTCGCCTGCGTCTTCCTCCCGATTTTACTCTCTCTCAAGGGTGATCTGTTCTTTCATCCAAAGGAAATCAGTGTTTTTTCCTCAAATCATCTCTCGCTGCCACCACCTCCCTCCGGATAGTTCTTTCCTCCATCCTTACCAGAAATACCTCAGTCTACGCTACGTATTGTGGTATCGCGACAAGACTGAGTGTATTTCTGAAACGTAGGGACCATAAAGGCAGGCATTGCGCCCCACAATGGTTAAAGTATACCTAGCAGGGGTGTGAGTAACCCAGAGACATGTTCAAATTAAATAAAATACGTCTCTCATTTTTTGGAAATTTTACCTCATAAAAACCAAAATTTTGAATGTGTGATACATCCTGATGAGATGGAATTTATTGGGCATTCTTCCCAAATTCTGTGCAAAAAAATACGCAGGTATCAATTACGATACTTCCTGCAATATGACACTACCAAAAATTTGCAGGGCTGTGGAATCTAATGGTTGGATGGACATCATGGACATTCCAACATTAATCTATGAGTCATCATCAGGGTAAGATGGTATCAGCTTTCATGTTTCAGGTTTGACTCAAACTTAGGTCTGTTTAAAAGTTGTTTATGAATGGCACTTATACAAAACAAAACAAAACAAAACAATGAAATCATGTCCACTCCAAACCATGGTATTCTTGTTTTTTCGTAAATAATGACAGTACACTTTCAACTGTATTCCTTTGGTAATCTTTTCAGTTTTGTCTAATTTTATATGCTGTAAAAGTCTACATTATATTTATGAGTTCTGATCATTAAGTTTGCAGAAGATGGAAAACCATTGCCAGAGGAATGTGGCATACAGAGCAGGAATTAGATGTTGCAAACAATATACCTTTTGCCATACCGGAAAAGCACCGTACATTTGCTGTTCTTCGAAAAATTTTCAAGCGATGTGGCCCTTCTCTGAAGAAACTGAATCTCCAAAACGTGAAAATTAAGGGATCTGATGGTCTGATTGAAGCTATCGGTATGATTCTTTCATCATTCTTTTTCAATTTTAAACGTCCTTAGATAAGTCTCACATTTTTTAATACCCATTTTATTCCTTTAAACAGAAGAAGAGCAAATTCAACCTATTCTCATCAATGTTCTAGACCAATCCACACAGGTTAGCCATTCCCGTGGACGAGCTTTGAGACCCTGCAGCGCATTGTGGCAAGAAGTTTGAATGCAATGCATCTCATGGGAGCAGCCCATGATTCGTCACAATGGCTGAATCACGGATGTTTGGTCCAAACTTTCAACGTTCCATTTGTCATGCCCAAAATGCAATGTCCAAATTTTAGAGGTCTAAGTACACCTGAGTCTATTTATGAAATGTGCAAATGCATTGTGTCCAATTTTAAAAATTATTGACTACCAGTGAGAAGAAGAATTAGCATTTTTTTCTGCAGACGGAACAATCAGTTTAAGCCGATAAATGGTCGAGCAGAGGTGGAGCAATGATGGAGGAGTTTTCAATTGCTCAAGTTTGTTAGCAGCCAAATAATATATTTGAGATTTTTGAAGCTGTAGCAACCAGTTCCTTACATGGAAACCATTTTAAACAGAATAAATCATGAGAATCTACCAAACCTAACCTTTGTTGAACTTCTCAAGATTTTGGACTTTCATTTTGAAACTTTTTTTTTTTAGGAGGAGAACATAGTTTTTTGGATGTTAATAAGGTGAATACTTAGATTACTGGACAAACAACAGTTTTGGAGCTTTTAGTGTATTTTCTGAAGGAAAAATACACTATTGCGTTCTCCCTAATGGTGGGACCTAGACCTGGGACCATGTAAAGAGCACCGATCTCGAGTCGTAGATCACGAATATATATGTCATTCATTTTCTGTCATATATATTTCAGAGCTTTGAGCGGCAGTTAATTTTTAAGTTTCTTGAAACAAAACTTTTAGGGTTTATAGTCCCCTAAGAGTACTTTTAAACTGTGAAGAAAAAATCGGAATACGTTAATTACTTTTCGCTCAGCGAGGAGTCAAAGTGGGGGAGGTTTAATTTTGTCCACGCGATAACTTGAGTAAAAATGAATATTTTGAGCCGAAATTTTGATGGTAGTTAGTGATCTACTAAGGCTGGTTTCCTATTGAATTTCAGCAAAATCGGTTAACGCGTTCCATAATAGTGACAATTTACCGTTTTTAAGGGTGGGGCGGGGGGGAGTTGCGCTAAATCTTGAGTAAAAATGATATTTTGAGCTGAACTTTAAATGGTAGTTAGAGGCCCAAAAAGTCTGGTTTCCTACAGAATCTCAGCAAAATCGGCTCATGCGTTTTGTATTAGCGGTCACTTATATATTTTACAGGCGGGGGGGGGGGGGGGGAGGTTTGCGTGAAAATATTTCTCAACGTCCAATTAATTTTTTGTACTTAAATGTTTTAAATGTGTTGTCTTGTGGGAAGCCATTGACTGAGGGTTAAGTGAGGGCCGGATGAGGGAGTGAATGAGGATAGGAGGTGTAATGGCCAACATGTGTGGATTGGTCTTGCTAATGTTGCAATATTAAGTTTAATAGTCATGAAGACTTTCAACTTTCTGATTGGTGATTGGTGAACCAACATGAAGACTGGAATCCAGCAAGGTGCGCTGGAATTCACTTATTAACTACTTTTAATGTACATCAAAAATTCAAGTTGGAGGTTGTAGTGGCGACCTCCCTGATGGGTTTTTGGGCAATTTCGAAAAAAGTTGTCGGAACTCTCGAAAAAATAATCGCATTTTTGTGGTTTTTTAGGGGTAAAACAGCAAAATTGGCCCTGTGGCAACAAATGAAATCCTTTCTGCCTCATCCTTGCTTTGCCATAAATGGTATGTTTCCTTATCAAGTCCAGAAATGTGTTATTTTTCGAAATGTTAAGCATCTCTTTTTAAGAACAAAAATTTACAAAACATTCTTAATTTCGTTTTCTAGTCTACTTCTTTTTATCAGGGAAGTTACTCAAAATTATTGTGATATCCTGTGATTTTTTGTACTCTTTAAACTGTCGAAAGTAATTTTCTTTACAGTAAGAAGTCTTCTAGATTCGAACTATCCAATCCGCTATGAGAGGAGGTCGAATTCAGGTACTTCAAAACGTTTTTAGAATCGTTGTTATCCACTCATTTTATTTGTGTTTTATTTTTCATGTTTTTGGGAAAAATATGGGGGCAAATTTTGGATAAGATGTTCAAAGGATTGACTGCAACAGGGATGAGGTTTGGGGGTGGGAGAAAGTTCTCAAATTGTACTTTCTGTTGATGGAGTAGATTTAAGAACTTTCTGTCTACTCGAACCGCTCGTTTTCCCCGCGACTCGTCGCTTTATCCGGCCTCTCTTTTTGAGTTAGGTGCACCCATCAATTAAGGAATGGCATACTTTTCATGGTACCTAAATGCATAGAGTACAGAAGAACCGTAATGACTCATTCTGAACGAAATGAAAATCCAGCGCTTGAGGTTGCAACGCGATTCGGGTCATTTTGATGAATTTTAAATTGTAAAGCTGGCAACACTGCAACTCTAAATTGTTCAAATAAGTCTTTTCTAATCGAAAACTCTCAGCTTGCACATTTCTTGTGAAATTTTGAATGGAAATCACACTTTGAAACCTTCATTTTATCATCAAATTTGATATTTTTGAGTCTGCAACGCTGCCGCAGGGGGCCGAAAATTTTGTATGGGCATGAAAATTTTAGGAAAGTCACATCTTATACCAGGTTAATACATACTAAAAGTTCAGATCAGTCATGGCAAGGATGAGGGAGAAGAGGTTTAATTTGTCACCCCATGCCCAGTCTGCTATTTTACCCCTAAAAAACCACAAAAATTCAATTATTTTTCAAAAAGCTCTAACCCTCTATTTCGAAATCGGCCAAAAATCCATCAGTACATTACTAGAACGTACGATTTGAATTTATGATTTTGAATGGAAATCACACTTCGAAACCTTCATTTTATCAACAAATTCGATATTTTGGAGTCCGTAACTTAGAAACGCTGCCACGGGGGCAAAGCATTTTGTATGGGCATGAAAATTTCAGAAAAGTCACATCTTATACCAGGTGAAAACATGCTAAGAATTCATATTGGTCAAGGCAAGGATGAGGGAGAGGGGATTTAATTTGTCGCCCCAAGGCCAATTTTGCTATTTTACCCCTAAAAAACCACAAAAGTGCGATTATTTTTCCGAGAGCACCGACGACCTATTTCGAAATTGCCCAAAAACCCATCAGGGAGGTCCCTGCTACAACCTCCAACTTGAATTTTGACATACATTTAAAGTTGTTAATAAGTGAGTTCGAGCGCACCGTGCGAGGGTGACCACCAAGCATGAACATTTGTTAATATCTCACAAATGGCATCATGATTTTGGGCTCATATTGAAGCTGAAAAGGCCTCCATATTTTTCGAACGAAGCATCAAAAACATTTTTATAGCTCCATTTAACTGTGCTTTAAGCTATAAGGTAAAAATTCTCAATTAAAAAGCCAGAAGAAATGAGGGTCAACAATGAAAAAATGCGAAAATCCGTAGGTCATATAAGCATTAAAGTCATATACTATTTCTATATTTTCATTTTGGTCATAGAATCTAATGATAGTCTTATAAAATTGCCATTTTTTGGTCTCATCACTTGATTTTCGGGTCAAAATTCTTGTATCACGGTCTTTCAAAACCTTACATACCTACCTACCTCTTTGAAATCTATCATATCACAATTACTCATGGATAATTTCCTTCTCTTTTCAAATCAGAGAGAAATAACAATTTCATAGTTTTTAAAATCATGAAATCTAATATTTCTAATAATAATAGGTTAATACTCACTTTTTCCCATGCCCGATTTTGAGATTTAGGTTGTCAAATCTTAAACTAACACTATAGCCATTTCGGCTTTCACAGCCATCATCAAATGATTAAAACCGAAAAACGAAACTGAAGTTAAAACATTATTATCACCGCCGACGCGTCGCGAAACTGGCGAGTGCGATATCAAGATCATATACAGCTGATCGCGTTGCATCACTTGTAAGAGGGCGGGGGGAATGACCACTGGTGCCACCTATTCTTTGAATTGTGAGTTTAGAAGCTGGTCCTTTGGTGTTTTCAGGATTTCTATCTATTCTAGTACAATCTATTCTAGATTTCTGGCCTTTTTGACACACTCTTTCCAATTTGGCTTGACAACCTTCTAGTTTATGATTCGTGTTGATGATATAGTCGCCAAATGATGAGTGTCCCTTTCTTTTTAGTACGGCACAATCCACATGTTCTTTTAGCCTTGTTGCCACACTTCTGCCCGTCCGTCCCACACACTCTTTTCCACAGCTGCACTCAATTCTATATACACCGCTAGATTTCAATTTGTCTTCTTTTTCTTTTGTATTTATTAATAGTCTGCCTAAATTTCCTTGGTTACTGTAAGTTACCTTCACATTCTTGTCTTTTTCTATGATTTTTCTTAACCTTGTCAGATATTTTTTCGACGTATGGTATTGAAATCCTTTTCTCAGTCCCTTCGTTTTTTGTTTTCCCACAAGCCAAATTGGAAAGAGTGTGTCGAAAAAGCCGGAAATTAAATGTACTAGAACTGATAGAAATCCTGAAAACACCAAAAGACCAGCTTCTTAACTCACAACAGGTGGAGGAACAACAGGTGGCACCGGTGGTCATTCCCCCGCCCGCCTACGTGACGCAACGCTGATTGACGACGATCAGCTGATCATGATCTTGATATCGCACTCGCCAGTTTCGCGACGCGTCACCAGTGATAATAATGTTTTAACTTCAACTTCGTTGTAACTTAGTTCGTTTTTCGTTTTTAATCACCTGATGATGGCTGTGAAAGCCAAAATGGCCATAGTGTTAGTTTAAGGTTTAACAACCGAAATCTCAAAATCGGGCGAAAAAAAAGTGAGTATTATCTGATACAACCCGATAAAGGAGGAAAAAGAAACATAATATTAGGTTCTTACTTACTTTGTTTATGATTTTTATTGTTTCAAATCATTACTTCCAATTAGCATTTCTATAATGCTAAGATGTTTTCCCTGCAAGCTATTTTTAAATGGGGACTGGAGGCTTTTTCATTGTCTTCGCGATCATACTTTTTTTTTGGGGGGGGGCCATAAATGGTTGTAAATGTAAAGTCATATGAAAGAGCCATATTTTTGTTTTTGGATTATCTGTGGATCCCCTGGATATACGCATTGGACTTTTCCAACCTTGACCCCCCACTCCTCCCCAAAAGTTGAGAGTCTGAAATTTTGGTATATGACTTTCACACAAAATTTTATGGACATATAAGCTTTGATCATAATCCACAGGTGGACCAGAAACAATTTTTTAGGGACAACTCCTTTGAAAATAGGGCAATTTTAACGTCACTGATGGGAGTAAGTTGTTAAATCAAGTTGCGGTTGTTCTTCCACTCATCTGCTTAGCCATTCAAACCTTTGACTTTGGTGTTTTTTTTTATTCTATTTTTTAGTGAGAAAATGTCTTCATTTGGAGGAGTTGCATTTAGATGAACAGTATTTGAGCAAATACAAAACCAATATGCTGAAGCCTCTGAAGCATTTGAGAGTTCTTTCTTTGCGTGGTAGGAATCTTTTCACACTGAAATACCCTTAATATTCGCTCACAAGGATAAATTCTGTGTTTACATTTTCATAAATTCTGAGTATCTCAAGCATTCAAATATTTGATTCAATTCATTTAATGTTTTGGGTTGGTTGAATTTTTTCCTGCGAGAAACCAAGAATTTCCATTTAAAATATCCGGAAAACCCAAGAAAATATTAGGGAAATCCAAAATGAAATTTAATGAGGCTCATTGTTGGAGTAAACTTCTCTCACTCTTTCAATGAATGACTTTCAGTGAACTGGCTAAAATTGTTATCAAATTGAGGTTGTTGTTATGTCAAAGGACGCTTAAATATGTTCTGCTGTTTGAAATCAACTTCTACATAGTTGAGGGGTTATACAATCCACAGAGCTTATGCAAAGCTGTTTGCTGCTTAATGTTGTTTAGTTAATCTGATACTGGTATCATTAGAGAAAAATTATTTAGATTGCTTATCCAAAAAATCGGCTTAAACCTTTTTTTCTAAGTAATGAAATAATAGTGCATGAACATGCAAAACATGGATATGCAGGCATATCTGTTTGTGAAGTTACAGTAGCAAGGGTGAAACAGGGTCCAGGTAGATGCTGAGGTAAAGTTCAGACGTACCAGCATTGGCTAAACTTTTTTTGGGAGAAATTGGCAAATCAGATTGCTAGCACATTAAATAGCTGATGATCAGTAGCGTAAATGCAGGGCCTGCAATGCGAGCGAGCCCACGGCTCTAAGGAGCCCAGTCACCTGCTGGAATTTTTAGTTTTTTTTTTCTCTTGAATTTCATCTCTAAATTGAGCCTGGAGGGTATTGAAGGAGGACTGGCCTGCACTTGTTGAGTCACGCCTGTTAAAGCTAATTAAGCTTCAACCAGATATGTCTCCGTGGTAACAGAGTTCTATATACATACGCATTGTTATGCTATAAACTCGTGTGAATAAAGTCATATCCACAGCATTATTATGAATATTATTATTATGAAAGTGAATAGGTATTCAACAGCTCTGATTGTTGCTAAATGTAAGCAACAACGTTGTTGTTGATGTCTGTTCTGCATGAAGGAAAAGCACCTGCTTTTAAAATAATTTGACATGCTTGTGAGTGAAATTTTAAAAGTTTAATTTTAATTAAGATTTGTGTGCAGGTTCCTATTATTTTGTTTTGTTTTATATATGATACTGAAGCCTACCTTTGAAACATCAAGCAAATTGTGTACTAAAAATAATAGTACGTTTTATTAAGATTGTAGAGCAGTGCAGGATGCAAATTTGCAGTCTTTGCTGGAAGACAAATCGCACCTAACTCACGTCGAAGTTACTCACAGCTGTACTGTAGATGGAAGTTTTCTATCAGGCATTAATTCACCTCTGGAAACTCTCAATTTAAATTCCTGTGAGGAACTAACATCTGATAATCTAAGGGCGGTGAGTCTTTATACTGTTGATATCTAGTTTATTAAAATGAGTGCCTCACATTTTTTTCATTGTAGCATGACCCCTAGCCTAGGGTGTAGCTTAGTTTTGAAAACTGACATTCAAGTTAGACCCAAGCTTAATTTGTGCTACAAAGTTTAGAAAATAACTGTTTCAAAGCGAAACAAAATGGGAATATGTTTACTCTGGGCTGCAGCAAGCTAATCAAGAAAATGTTAAGCTGGAAAAGGAAATCAAAATTACATGTGATACAACAAAAAATATTTGCCCTGAAAGGTATAGAGTCATAGCAAACCTATAGTAGTTTTGCTAGAAACTTAATTTTAAATTAGTGCCTAAAGTGTCAAAAAATATTATAGATACAACGATGCGAAAAGAGATGCAGAGGCTGCGACCTGTCAAACATAGTGCACCAAATTAATTGAGACTAGCATGTGCTGATCTTTGCCGTAGAGCAAATGATTAATATGTGGTTTGCAACGCTAACAGAGAAAATGCGACAAGCAAGATCGTAGATGTAGTTCCTCTAAATCATTTGCCAAAATTTTGAAAAACTTGTATTTACTTTACTTTGCACTCTTCGGGAGAATTTTTCTCGTAAATTAAGTATTCCTGATTGTTTCTAAGATATTGTTAAAAAAAGTTTTAGTCCCTTAGGTTAAAAACTAGTGTTAATACAAAGTTAAAAAATAGTGTAATTGACACCCCAGTAAGGGGTGGTTGTACAATTTTAAGTTAATAATAATAATAAATAGTAAAAAACAAACAGTTTCTGAGATAAGATCCTAAATCTTGGTTGATTACTTTGCAGCGAAGAAGACAATTAGTTCTTTGGATCACTAGAGACAAGGAAAATCCCCAAAATTTGCTGCAAGTCCCTGATAAAGTGCAAAGTAAAGTGAATATAAGTTTTTCAAAATTTTTGCGAATCATTCAGAAGAACTACATCTACATTCTTGCTTGTTGCATTTTCTCTGTTAGCCTCGCAAACCACATATTAATCATTTGCTCTACAGCAAAGATCAGTGAATGCTAGTTTCAATTAATCTTGTGCAGTATTGTTTGACAGGTCGCAGCTTCTGAATCTCTTTTCGCATCGTTGTATCTATAATATTTTTGAACACTTTAAGCACTAATTTGAAATTACAATTTTAGCACAACTTCTTTAGGTGTGCTATGACTCTTTACCTTTTAAAGAGCATATATTTTTTGTCGTACCACATGTAATATTGATTTTGTTTTCCAGCTTAACATTTTCTTGATTAGCTTGCTGCAGCCTGTCAGTGTTAGGAAAAAGGGTGTCATGCATTGAGAAAAGAGGGGTCGATGGCGTCTAAACATGGCACGGTTCCCACTTTACCCGCGCGGCGCATCGCGTCATGTTCATTTTTCGGGGGGTGTTTCTGGCTAAAAGCTTGCAGATTCGTCAAAATGCTTGAAATTTTCGACTCTATGAACTGCGACTCGTTAATTTTACATTCAACTGACGTATACCAGTAACATAAAGTGAGAATTGTAACTTGCGCCTTCTTGGGCGTTGCACACTGAGTAAAAATTGTTCAATTTTGTTCTCTTTGGAGAGGTTTTTTTCTTTTCTCTACAGCACAAATTAAGCTTGGGTCCAACTTGAAAAAGTCATTTTTCAAAATTAAGTTGAATCCTACCTTAGCCATGCTACTACGTTTGTCTCTGTCAATAGGCACTTTATTGCCAGCTCAGTGATTAAAAAAACAAGGATGATCAAACTATTTACCAGTATAAGACCTCTACTTTACGTCAATGTTAAGTTTTCTCACTTCTAAGGTTTTAAGTATTTTTTTTTAAACCCTTTCCCCCCCTCCTCCAGTCCATTGTGGAGTTGGTGGTCCAAAATCATTTTGCAGTTGTATTGTTTCATACAAGGTTAAGATAAAGAGGTTGTTCCATCTACCATTGAAACTGGGCCCAGAATGAAATCTCCTCATCTTTTCAGGTATCAAAGGGCATTGTCAGGGACACCCAAAAATGGTTGAATTTTTTCCAAATTCCCCCCTGGGGAGGGGGGGCGGGGGGTTATATGAAAAACGGTTTTTTGGCTATAACTTTTGAACGGTTTGAGATATTGATTTGAACTTTTTTTTAAATGAAAGGTCGTTTAAAGAGCTTTCTTTTGGTATATTATGTTCAATAGTTAGGTCAATTTTTGACCAATTTATGGCCTGTCAAAAATTTTCCATGAGTCCAAAAATCATATTTCTGTAGTTTAGAGCAGCGACGATCGCATGCAGATGAACAAAAAACTGTTCAACTTATAGCCCTCTCTCTGACGGTTAAAATGAGCCCAAGATCATCTTGGGGAAACGATTTGTCTCCGAGTTATGCTTCTTCAAAGTTGGCGCGGCGGGGTCCGCTTCCGCGGGGCAGCGCTCCGGAGTACGATAGTTCACTCCCACCCCCCTCCCGTCATGCCACGCGACGCAAACCGAGGAAGACTACCTTTAATGATCATTTGAACAGATAAATGCACACAATATACGCTATTATGTTGTACAAGTATTATTAAAATTATATTAATATAATAAATAGAAGAGTGGAATCTCACCGAATTTATCATCACCGCAATCCATAGGATCATCGGCAGTGTGATCCGCATTTTCATCCTCATCTTCGTCGTCTGAAAAGCCGAAATCGACTTTTCTGAGAGGGAAGCACTCGTTCAAAAAGGCTGAAGGCGCTGGTTTTTTGTGATAGCGCCCATAAAACAAATACCAGAGTATAGTTACGACGTGAGCACAAGGATTGATGGTACGCGCACCGTTCTTACATGTGCAGTAACTTGCTTTAATGGCCTCGCTGGATTTTTTACTGGTGTCGATTAATATAAATATATGATATTCTTTTTTTGATTTATGCCTCGATAGGATCCGTGATCGAAGAAAAAGAGGCGAATTTACGGAAATATCATATTTTTGAAAATCTGGCAAAAAGTTATCCTTCGTCACTTGAAAGCAATATTTTCCATTAGCAAAATGGTCTGCAATATAACTTGCTGCAAGTCCAATTTGATAACTTCCCGAGAGGGTGTCAAGATCTTCGCTCCTCCACTGTTCTAATTGTTTAAAATGATCTGTCGTCAGGTTTTCAAAAACTACTTTTTTTCGGAGCCATTTCTCGTCCTCAACAATTTGTTGCACAATATTCGGCTCATTTAATTTTTGGAGCATTTGAATGGCAATTTTTGCGTCGTCACCATCACTTTGCAGGCGTTGAAAATATAAATTATGTGTCGCGGACACTATGCGATAGTCGTCAAACAAATTGCCGGATCCAGGTATATTGCTTCTCATTTTTTAGAGCGTTTTCAATATAATTTTAATAATACTTGTACAACATAATAGCGTATATTGTGTGCATTTATCTGTTCAAATGATCATTAAAGGTAGTCTTCCTCGGTTTGCGTCGCGTGGCATGACGGGAGGGGGGTGGGAGTGAACTATCGTACTCCGGAGCGCTGCCCCGCGGAAGCGGACCCCGCCGCGCCAACTTTGAAGAAGCATAACTCGGAGACAAATCGTTTCCCCAAGATGATCTTGGGCTCATTTTAACCGTCAGAGAGAGGGCTATAAGTTGAACAGTTTTTTGTTCATCTGCATGCGATCGTCGCTGCTCTAAACTACAGAAATATGATTTTTGGACTCATGGAAAATTTTTGACAGGCCATAAATTGGTCAAAAATTGACCTAACTATTGAACATAATATACCAAAAGAAAGCTCTTTAAACGACCTTTCATTTAAAAAAAAGTTCAAATCAATATCTCAAACCGTTCAAAAGTTATAGCCAAAAAACCGTTTTTCATATAACCCCCCGCCCCCCCTCCCCAGGGGGGAATTTGGAAAAAATTCAACCATTTTTGGGTGTCCCTGACAATGCCCTTTGATACCTGAAAAGATGAGGAGATTTCATTCTGGGCCCAGTTTCAATGGTAGATGGAACAACCTCTTTCCAGGGTTTTTAACAACACTGGCAGCAACCAAATTTAGAGCCTTACCAAGCTGCGTGTACCTTGCTACAACAAGTAAATTTACATTGTTTTGATTAATTTAACGTCATCCACCGCGGCTGTGACACCCTTGGTTTCTTCCTCTTTTCTTTGATCAGTGATGCAGAGGGTGCAACGCAAAACTTCAAGGACGTTAAATATAAACAAACTGAGGTGAACTGACTGACTGCCTAATCTTTTCGCGACGAGTGCGTTATCTCTTGATAAGAAGATCTTTCAAGCGCGAATCCGTCTGTTTCTTGAGCTTGTTTACTTTTAACATTGCTGAAGTTTTCTGGTGCACCCTCTGCATCACTGATCGAACAAACGAGGAGTAAACCAGGGGTGTCACTGTCGCGGTGGATGACTTCAAAAACCTGACTTTTCAAAGAGCGATATCTCGGTTAATATTGAAGGTAGAAAGTTGCGGTTTGGACAGATCTTATTATTTTTCGCTAATCTACAAGAATCATGCATCAAAACACGATTCTGTGACCAGCGCAAATGACCCATTGCACCAACCGAATTGCCAATAAACTATTTTTAAATCATATGAATTTGAATTTTGTCGTTATCCAACAACAATATCATTAAACATTTTAGTGTCTTCTTTATTTGCTGTGAACTCACTTCTGTCTTTTTGATCAGAATCTGGGCAAATTTTCCTCGACTTTGAAGCAACTCCACCTAGCCGACTGTCAGCTTCTTGATATGGATGACATCAACATAATTTTGTCTCAGTTACCAGAACTGCACACTCTCACGCTGAGTCACTATCCACAAGAAAGTTTGACCGCACTGGATGGAATAACAACCTTGAAGCGTTTGAAATCCTTACATGTTGCATTCAACCGTAGCATCTCTGAAGACTTCCTGCAACTCCTCATCCAGTCCAATTTAGAATTGACTCACCTTGATATTAGCGGAGCAGGTACTTTCACCTACTGCATTTTTGTTCATTAACCTGACTGAGGCCCTCCATAAAAGGAGATCCTGGTTTTTTAATCGAACATAGGGTGTCTATTAAAATTAGCCAACAATCATTCAATGCTTTCTCAATCCTTTCCCAAAACATTTAGTGCCTCCTTCATGGCAAATTCTGCAGTTTTTCAGAATCTTGAAGCTATGATTTGTGTTATCAACATGGAATAGTACCTTTACAGGGTTCATAACATCTTTTAAAATTCAAAATCTAGGACTTTTAAGTAATCTTCCAGGAGTTCCGAAGAATAAAACTAAGGATTCACCGGCACCTCCGGAAGAAAAATTTCAACAACCTTCAAGGATGTACTTACAAAGTTTTTCAGGCCTCCAAAATACCTTAAAAACGAAACGTTGCTTTTCCTGTATCTTTGTTTTCTGCTATCAAAGAATTGACAAAGAGGATTGCTTGCTGGAGTGGTAAAATAATGCTTCACACCCTTGAGCGCCAAAGTAGTGTAATGGTTTAGAGCTTTTCCTACCAGACAGTAGGTCCGCGCGCGGCGTTGATTGGAGGGAAAACGTCCCCTCCCACTCATTTCGGCGAATCACACTCCTCTGCCGACCTCGCATTGTAGCCACATGGCTCCTGATCTGTCGCCGCGCGCAGTTTAAAATAGCCGATTTTCCCGACCTTCGCTCCTTTCCGCTCTTACTCGCGACCAAAACATTTCCCCAGCATGCGGTAAAGAGCTAGAGGGGCTACAGAGAGTCAGGAACAACATATCAGTTTTTCATGAAAATATTAAAATGGCTTTTTTTTAATCGGCCCAAACGTGAAAAAATAAGGGGTCTCTTCTGAGCGTTCCGGCGCTTTGGAGGCGATAACTCAAGTGTGGCGGCGCAACCTGGGTCAATCCATCACCTCAAGTGGTGATAAGCCGAGCCGCTTGGCGCACTTGCGTCATTGCGAGGCAGTTTCCTCCGCCGGCCGCAACGAGCAGTTCGATCGCTCAGTCTCCCATCTCCAAACTTGCATGGACCAACTTGGTGGGAGGCTGGCGATCAGCTATAAAAGGCGCCCGGCGGGACCTCCGAGTGTTCAGTTTCATCCCAATATTTGTAAGAGTAAGTTCACACTTCTTTAAGTCGGGGTACATCCCCAGTAATCCGCGGCTTGGACCCGCATAACCTCGCGACTGAGTCTCTCACTAAGACGCGGCTTCGTCCCGCAATATCATGCGGCCTATCCGCACCCATGTATTTAGACACCTAATCAACAGAATATACGTCAGTAAATTGCAGCATTGTGCTTATTCCTTTCCAACCAAAAACCCTGAATACCACCCCCCTCTTACAAGCTGAAGTTGACAAAACCTTATGATGTTATACATTTTCTGAAAGCCCTCGTCACGCTGAATACGCTCGTTTAAACCGCGTTTTCGAAAACTTCTTGATTTTCGAGTAATAAATTCGCGAAAATTTTGCCGGTTTTGAACTTTGACCCCCCGCCGCGTCTCCTCAAAATTTTTGGAAGGCTTGAAACTTTGGGAAAAGATGGGGCATTGTTAGGTGAATGAAGAGGGCAAGTCTCAAAGGTATCCGCCCTGAGCCCCAAATGGCCCGTTTTGCACGTAGTCCTTTGAAAAATGTTATAGAGGGAAGTTTTAATTTTCGTTGACGTCGTGATCGTTGACACCGTGATCATATTTCATGAGAGTCAGAATTTTTCATTTTTGGATGATCATGGTGTCAACAAAAACTTAGAAAAACTGTTCGTTGACACCTCAATCGTTGACATCATGCTATGTAATTATGAATTGCTTGCGGAGCCAATTTCGAGGTCTGCCGATCGACCGGATGAACTTGAATTCGTCTGCCGGGCTAAAACTAAGTTAATATGTATCCTAACTATACGTGCGTACAATATAAAGACTAGGGAACGACGTCAAAGCATTTTCCAGGAGCCAAAAAAGGGCTTTTTTGCTCGATTTCATCGCAAGAAAGAGTCATTTTCGGGGTCTGCCGATCGGTCGCATGAGCTCGAATTCGTCTGCGGGCTAGAATTAAGTTAATATGTACCCAAACTATACGAACGTACGATATAAAGGTTTAGAAACAACGTCAAAGCACTTTTCAGGAGCCAAAAAGTGGCTTTTTTGTTCAATTTCATCGCACGAAAGGGCTATTTTCGGAGTTTGCCGATCGGCCGCATTAACTCGAATTCGTCTGCCGGGCTGGAACTAAGTTAACATGCACCCAAACTATACGTGCATACAATATAGAGGTTATGGAAGAATGTTAAAGCACTTTTCAGGAGCCGAAAAGTGGCTCTTCTGTGCGGTTTCAAACACGCTTTTTCCGTTTTTCGGGGGCGCAGCGGCCAGACGCACTACTTTTGAAGTCTGATATTGCCCAATCTGTTACTCGGGAGGTCAGAGCTATGTCTCCACAAAGTTTCAAGCGTGACGGAGTAGTGGCGCTAAAAATGCAGCTGGCTCTTAGATCATGACGTTTTTAGGTATGGGGCGAGAGGATCATCTGCTCGATTTTGTGAAAGTCTATAGTTTGTGCAATGCACAATTGATTCCTTGCTCGCCTATCGAGTGATTCTGATGATCCGGAAGTAGCAACTCGGATGCTTAAAAAACTTATTGCGCCCAATATCATTCAGTCAACTGTCGAAAAGGAACACTTAATTCGGAGAAATGTTTCATTTGAGCCGATTAACGCTGATCATTTTCAAGATCTTCCTGCATAGACTACGGAAGATTTTCTATCATTTTCTGGAGCATACCAATTTAGTATTGTAAAAAGTTATATTGGTGATCAAATAACAAAAGGTAAATTCGATCCCCAAATCAGCAAAGATCGTTCTTAACCGCGTAATTCTGAATACGGATTAAACGTTGTCGACTCGTGTGTTTAAAGACGAAATTATTATCAAGTACTATCAAAGTATACCGGCAATTTGTGCTAACAGACACGAGCAAGTCACCGCGGCAGTAGTTTGTTGGCAGTTATTGCATGTGCAAAAACGGAGCTCGCCCATTAAACCCTTATGCACATGTTGTTGTCATCCTTAGGCTATTTTTTTGCGGAAGTCATATGATGACGTTTCAATCACCAGCAGCTTTTCTTATCGAGTGCTTTCTATATTTAAAATTGGACGAACGACTACCTCAAATTGAAGCAGAAGTCAGAAGGAGAAACTGACGTCGATGAACCAGAATTTTAATGTGAGTAATAAAAGGAGATAAAATGATTGTCATTTGCTACACATTTGTACTTAATTTTACATTTTACTTAATATTTGGACGATTACTTTAGAAAATGACAGGAAGGAGTGCAAATAAGCGAAAAGTCGCAGCCAATTGTCACTGCAGAGGCGCCGGTAATCTTCGGGCGCCGAACATACAAGGTTCGCGCGCTACAAGTCAACTTTGAAAAATCATAACTCCGGTCCAAATTGCTTTCCCGGGATGATCGTAGGCTTATTTAAAAGCTTAGAGTGTCCACTTTCATAAAAAAATAGTTTTGTAATTTTTCGTGTGTTTCTTTCAACGCTGCGGCTCAAAATGTAAAAAATTGAAATTTTGAACTACTGCAACGTGGCAACAATGGATGAAAATGTCAAAATGGACCAATTTCGTGAATACCAGCTGAAATCTGATAATCTTCTCTAAATTTTGAGACCAAGATCATCTCTCTACAACAAACCGTTCACGAGATATGCCAGTTTAAAGTTTTAACTTTAACCCCCTCCCCCCTAATTATCCAAATTCCAAAATCGTCAGTGATTTGGACACGGGAAGTGGTCCTCTATCAACCCTAAAAATATTAAGAAGATTTGGCCAAGGTTGGAAATGGCCGATTTTGAATAAGGTCCTTTCCGAATTCGAAGGAGACCCTTTTCTTAAAAGTTGATGTGTCAATAGTTTAGAAGCCTCATGCAAGGAAAATAATTAAATACAATTTTTTACCCTGGTGCTCAAACGACTTAAGTGACACAGGTTAAAATTTGAGGTTTTTAGATAAAATAACTTTGTTTTCCCAAAGAAAACGGAGAGTTATGGGCCTGAAGGACAAAAATCTCGTCCGTGTGGTCGTATCTGCAATGCAAAAGCCGTAAAACACCCGAGAATGGCGCACGCAACGAGAGACATTAGGAGCCAAACGGGCGCGTCATACCGCAACGCGCTCACGTCCTTTGCACTGCGCAAGTGTCATGCCGCACGCAGGCACGCACACTTAGGTTGAACACTTTTTCTTCTCTTCTTGTTTATCACTAAAAGTCAACTGTCGTAAAGCGAATCCGTGGAGTTAAAATTCACAGATAATGGGGGTCCTCTGAAGTGTTTTAAGTAGTTGTATCAATTAATATGCGAAGAGCATTAGTCATCCGGCAATGCATTTATCTTTTGATCATCGTAGCCTGTAGTTGAGACTGGAATGATCAGCTCGACAATGAAAGTATTAACTTTAAGGTGAAAATTGGAAATCTTCAATTCTTTTTCTCCAGAATCCAACAATCAGTTGATATCTCAAGCTTTCAGTTCCAGTGTATTTCGATGCTCAAGTTACTTAAGCATCATCGAGAGATTGATTGCCCATTGATTTGATTGTTATGATTTTGCAGGCCAAGGTTATGAACTTGATGAGGGTACCTCGTTCTGTTTTTCTCGATTGAATACTATGAAAAGTTTACGCATCCTCAATTTAAGTTATATTCCAAATCTCAACAGGAACATCATCCACAACTATGCTTCAAGGTCACCACCTATCGAATCTTTGTCTTTTTGCTTCTGTAACAATCTCAAAGATGATGATATTAAAAGGTAAGGTGATGTTCTTTTTAATTTATTGATTTCAAACCTGCATTAGATAGTACTGATACTTCTGACTATTCTGAGCGACCTAAAATACCCCCTAAAATAAAACTAAAGTTATAGAAACAGGGGTTGGTGTGGATGCAGGAAGAATGGGCTGTGAAAAACAAGTTTCTCCTGCAAACTCTAACTCTTGAACTCTGTCAATAATAAATTAAAACTATTGGCTAGCATTTAATGAAAGAGAATACTACCTAAATAGTTTTAAAACAACCATCCTCCAGTTATTGATGAGTTAATTACAGTGAGGAGAGTAATCAATTGATGTTCGTCCCTTGTCGAGACAGAGCGAGACTGACAAAACTACTCCATGCATCTACATTCATGCTCCAAAGCTGCTCATATTGCCATCACTGTTATTGAAGGCAAACTCGACAGAATACAACACCCAGTGAAAAGAGTGATTAATTCTTTTGCCATGGCAGAGAGCAGCGTAAGTGCAAAATTGAAGGTTTGAGAAAATGGGCACAGTCGTGAATGAGCGGAAAGTTTTATTTAAAGAAGCTTTAATTCATTGTCAAATTGCCACCAATTACCCGAAAGACTCTCAGAAATCGTTCGGGTAATTAAAAGTTGACAACTTTTTTTCAACTATGTATATAAAAAGGATTTTCTTTATTTTTGTGTCAGGCGAATATTAGGCAAAGGAGCCATATGTGCTGTCCTCTGCATGCTTACATGGTTGCGTTTTGGACACACAACAAACAAATTTTAACGTTGGAATTTGGCACAAAAGAGCGCCATCTTACTTAAAAGTAAAACTCTCATTGGCTCTCTGACGTGATAATGCACTTTACAAGTGTTTTGTTTAAGACACTGCAAATTTTGGCGCATTTTTGGCTTTCTCATGTGTCTCGTTTTTATACTAAGAAAACGAATTTTGCTTTATCAGCTGCATCAGTGATGTCATCTAAATTAAATTAGACACATTGTTAAGGAAACTTGATTTCGAAAATTCGAAAGTTATGAAGGCAGAGTTAATGTTTGTTTCCTGCCGGGACAGAGCGGTAGTGATTAAACTACTACGTGCAGCTATTTGTGCTCCAAAGCCATTTTAGCCACCCCTGTCCTTGAAAGGGAACACCACAGAAAGAGAAACCTAGTGAGGAGAGTAATCAACGAGTGAGTTCCTTGTTTCATTCCATCAGCTTATTCATTTTCCATCTATCCCATCATATGTTTAAACTAGCCATTCTGGACGCGCTAAAGTGTGTCCCATAGCCAGCCAAGGGGCTGCGCGCTCTGGACTCCCGATCACTCGCTACGCGATTGACATTCGGCTCGCTCATTTTTCTGAGTGATTGGACATTTGATCACTATGATTTATACATTTTGGAGACTCCGGAGACAAAAATGATTTCGTCCCAGAACCTTGTTGCCAGAGCATGCCATCATTTGCACATGAATTTAATTCATGTACAAATGTTGGCATGCTCTGGCAACAAGGTTCTGTGACGAAATCATTTTTGTGGATGTGTGGAGATGAAGCAATGATGGGAATCGATCATTTCTTCAAAAACGCATTTGACTGGGACGTCAGTCCCATCGGATGGAGGAAAGTAACAATCCATGGATCTCCTTCTGCGATTTGATTTGCTGAAGTAGCGAAAGTTCATCTTTACTTCTTAAGAAGATTATCGGTGGCGTAGGGGTCTAAAAACTGCTCAACAACAGTATAGCTCGAGTTCTAAATCGCAATGAGCCCACTTGTGTTTTTTTCTCATACTTTCATTGCATATGAATTTCTCTGATGTTTTTGTTTTATTCTCTCCGATTGCATAAGTAATCTTATCCTCATTTCATTTCCTTTCCCTTTCATTTTTTTCTTTCTGTTGTCATCATCTGTGTTCATCTGTTGTCCATTTACAACTATTATTTTAAAATAGCTTTCCCCTAGTATACATTTGATGCTTCAAACAGAACCAATTTATTTTAATGACATTTCCGGCTAAATCATGGGTTTTCCCAGGAAGGCAGCCTCTTGTCCCTCCTGGACTCTATTGTTGCCAGATAAGTTGCTTTTTAGCACTTTTCCCAATTCAAATCCATGTAAAATATTCACATTTATCGCACAATCTGGCAACCTCTAGAGTGAAATAGAAGAAGGTGGAATTGACAGAATGTCTGAATCTGTCGAAGTTTATATTAATGATACCCCATTTATCATCATCATTATATTACAGCTCTTAGCGCGCACAAAATTCGTGCCAGGGCCGCGCAGGCCAACTAACCGCCCGCTGCAGCGGTGGCCTCCCCCCCCCCCCCCCCNTCCCGGCGCATACTGTAACGAAACATAAGATTGCCCGGTCATGGACTTCCTCCGCAACTTCTTTCCGCTATATCATTCGATCTTTATGGAATTTCAGGTCAAAACGACGCGCTCCCGAAGCATTTTCATCGCAGAATCCGATTTTGACCTTAGTTTGGCCGATATTCACACGGAAATGCATGTTTTCGGATGTTTTTATGAAGTATTGCTCAGGATTGTAGGAACCAAGGTGTTTTTGTAGATTTTTTCTCCAGTTTTTCTCAACCCTTTCATTCCCTTTTCCAAAATTCCAAGTTAAATCCCACATAATCAGAATTATTTTTATCGTAGAATTCGATTTTGACCAAAATTCAATTGATTCATCGGCGCAAACATTACATCACATCAACATTAAGGAAGAAGTATCGATTACAATAAAATTATGCTTTAATAGGTCTGATTATTGTGCAGTTATTTCAAAGTGGAATAATTAGAACGTATTGAAAGAATAGGAAATTAAAGTAAACCGTCAGTTCATGAAAAAACTCGATACTTATTAAATATACGGTTCGCTATTAGAACACAGTTGACATTAAAAAATGGTTAAGGCCTATATAATCATCTTATTCGCTGTCGTCTGTTCTGCCATCGTCCATCGATTCCTCCACTTCCTCTACCTCTCTTCAAGAGGGTCCTTTTCGAAGTTGATGTCACTGTCATTATTGCTATGATGAAGGACTAGAAGTGCAGTAGCCTCAAGATTTTTAAGATTTTGCGATTAAGATTTTTGCGTTTTCGTTGTTGTTATCAGCCTTATACAACCATTTAATGTAAAACTGATTATTTGATGCATTTCCACTTATCTCTGCGATTGTTTTGGATGCCAGATTCAGGTGGCATGGCATTCATCAATAAAGGGTCTAGTAACAGTTAGGATGAAGTCCCCTCGTCGATCAATTTACCTCTAATCATACGATGGGAAATCCGTATTGGCCAGTTACGCTCTTCATCGCGTCTTAAGCGGATGGAATGCAACCATATTTGCTGATGATTAACACTACTATGCGTAGTCATTAATATGTTCACAATATTACTTAAATGAAACTGCTATGCCTTAATGTGCAGGGTGTAATAATTGGATTAAGCGCATTTAGCAACCTGCGATATTTGCTTTGGAGGAAGGCAAATTCTTCTAAGTTTACACCGGGGGGGGGGGNTGGGGGGGGGGGATTATAATTTAGGTATCTTGGGCAGAGGAATGCTGATCTTTAAATGATACAAAATATATGAACAATTGTACATTTTCTAATTTTTTAGGAAGGATGTCTCAACGTACGCTATTGCAGGGTGCCTTGTGCCGTCTGCAAAACTCAATAAATTTCGCAAATGTGCAGCTGTCTGCAAGCAAATATGGCTGATTATTATTATCAAAAGATTACTTGAACACGCCATATGCTTACTTTTTTGGCAAAATGCGGCACAATTTTTAAAAGCTTGCATAAAGTTAAATTTTTATCTTTTTGAAGCAGGTAACTTTAGAGATACGTGGTAGTCTTCAGCATTGAGATAATTTCAATTTTGAAAAGTGAAAAATGTTCCGCAGAGTCTCAAAAATAAGTCTCAAGCATCAAAATTTACACGGGTCAATCTCACAACAAAATTAAGGGTCGAATAGAGTTTGACGGAGAGAGATCCGCTCGTGCCGTCTGGCCTTTTTAGACGAAAATCAAAGAATTTCACGAATCCGCGCCCATCTGCAGCCAAATATGGCTGATTATAATTCTCGAAGGATTACTTGAGCACGCCGTATGCTTACTTTTCCGGCGAAATGCGGCGAATTTTTTGAAAGCTTGCTTAAAGTTCAATTTTCATCTTTTTGAAGTAGGTAACTTTAGAGTTACGTGGCAGCCTTCAGATTTGACATAATTCCAATCATTAACAGTGAAAAATGTTTCTCAGAGTCTCAACAATAAGTTTCAGGCATTAAAATTTACATGCGATAACCTAACAACAAAATATAAGGGTCGAAAAGATTTTGACGAAGTGTGACAATTTCAGGAACAGCGGAATCTGCCACATTTGAGGAGCTCTAGGAAGAAATTGGAGGAAAAAATTTGAATATACATGCTAGATTCGTATAGTATAAACCCTTAGGAACACTTCATGCCCACTCTGGATCCAAAGTTAGCGCCACCCCCAATCCCCCATGTCCGACCTTTTGCCCATTTCGTTACAGTGTGGCGCCACGACGCCCGTCCTCCGCTGGCTGCATGGCAGAGTCCCCGCCCCCGCACCCCGTATCGCGCCGCGCTCATCGGCTTCTAGAACAATACGCAGTTCCTTTCCTTTCATTCCCTCTCTTTATTTTCTACAAGCACTTCAGTCGATAAGGCTTTTGTTTTGTCCTCCCGAAACTTTATAAAAGTTTCGTAGACATAAGAAGGGCGTCACATGGCGACGAGTAGTAATTGTTCCTGGAACTTTCTAGAACTCTCTCGAATTTTCATCATTCAGGTGACCGTTAGTAAAACGATGACCCTCATTAATCCTCTCCAGAACTTCATAGAATATTCTCGGACTTTCTAAGGTGTAATGTCTGACAATAGCTTTTCTCGAATTTTTCGAATTCTCGCAAATTTTCACCAGGCGATGCGCAATTAAATTGATGCCCTCGCCATGTCCTTTTGGGAGCTTTCTAGAACACTCTTGGACTTGTAGAAGAGTGTCGCAAGACGACAAGTGGCGATTGTTTCTGGAACTTTCTCAAATGTAATCAAAGTGGTAGTGACAGGAATGTGGTTCCCTTGCGAGCTACAATCACTCCCTGAGCGAGTGATGAGGGTCCAAGGGCGAAGCCGAAGCCCCCTTGCTAGGCGTGGAAGCGCGCCCTCCACGGCTAGTTATCGTTTATGAGCAATTAAATAATTATGTGCATGGAATGTTCGCTAATGCCCGAGGAAGGTAGCGCCCCTTACGAAGTACGGACAAACCGCTAGTCCTCCAATGAAATTAAGCTCACCACATGAAGTCATCGAAATTGTGGAGCAACGACGATGCGCTATACTTTCGCCAACAGTCTGTTATCCACTGCGATTTTCTTGACAACGAACGTCCCGGGCAACCGATTCATTAGCCGACCGACTAAAAACCGCACGGGAAAAACGAAAAAACGTGCATCTCCCCGCGGGACGAACAGTAAAACCAATTTTTCAAAGGATGCATGGGGAGCGGGGCCCGCCGCGTGATCCCTCTGTATAGACCGTTTTAGTGATGACGTCACATTTCGAGATGTACCGCGATTTTAGGCCTGGTGCCCTAACCGGGTTTCGGTCGGTTCGATTTACATGGGATTTTCCATAAGGAACGGAAAGTCAATTTTCAAACGCTGATGCTGGGTAGTTTCAGACAGTTTCTACTGGATTTTCTTGGGATTATGAGCTCTATATATCCTCCAATGTACGTTTCTATCTGGTGAATCCCCAATATCGCATCGAATAAATTAGTTATACTCAATGTATCGAAGCAAGTCCTGAAAGTGAATTTATGTTGCCCCTTCGTTTACATTCTTATTTTGGACTCTGTTCATCACTAATTTATGAAAAAAAAAACAATTCTGCGTGCCTCTAACGTTAGTTTTCCTCTTAGATTCTATCTATAATGACAAAACCTAAACATCCGCAACTAATAAGTTGAATATTGGACACCAATATTTGTTTTCTCCCTTTCTAAAGTGTTGCGCTTCATTCATTCCAGTCATGAATCACTTAGTTTTGTTTCATGTTATCCATAATTTTTCCTCCTAAACATTCCAATTCATAGGTAGTATTGTTTCAATCAATTTCAGTTGATACTGTCAGGGAAAAGCTGACACTATGTTCTAGGTAGTAACTGTTAGCACACAATGACTCTGTGGAGAAGTTGTCTCCTGTTGATCCTATTGATGTTGATAAAATTTTGAAGGTACTTCATCGATAACATTAGACTTCTCCAACACTGACATTGACAGGAACTTATTGGCGTGAGCTCAGTAAAGGTATATTAAGGTAATCGCCATTCATTAGAATCTTCTTACAACATCTAGAGAAAGGTAAGTATCGAAAGCGGTGAGCAGGTTGTCCAACAACAGTTTTACTCATCCCTACATGATGTCCACACTTATATACCGTCGCAATAATACGACCTAGGGAATGAAATAATGATTATGAACTCAGTAACGTATTTATAATCTACCAATGCTTCGTCCTTTTTCATAAAAACGAAGAAATAATATTCTTCCGAGTCCCAGAGAAGAATTTAAACAAAGAGGTAATATAACCTCACTTTCGGGACTTGCTTCGATACATTGAGTTTAACTAATTTATTGGATGCGATATTGGGGATTCACCAGTTAGAAACGTACATTTAAGGATATATAGAGCTCATAATCCCAAGAAAAACCAGTAGAAACTGTCTGAAACTACCCAGCATCAGCGTTTGAAAATTGATTTTCCGTTCCTTACGGGAAATCCCATGTAAATCGAATCGACTGAATCCCGGTTAGGGCACCAGGCCTAAAATCGCGATATATGTTTAAAAGAGACGTAGCACTAAAACGGTCTACTTCCGGCTATCGAGGGACCGAGGTGGTGAAGTAGGTACCACCCGCGCCCGGGTCGGCCCGGCGGTCTCCTCTAAATTTTGACCCGAAAGATCGGACTTATGGAATTAAACCGAATGTTCCAGAGCACCTGTTCACTATCTTTTTCTCGGAAGCGGTCGAAAAAACAGCTTCGGGACGAAAACTGTCGGAGGTAAATCAACCCCAAAGAATTCAATGAAAATATTTTCAGCCCCCCAAAACCCCATGGGGGGGGGGGGGGGGTTAAGGAGAGTGCCCCCCGTTTCTCGCATATTACTTAATGGAACGGTATGTTTTGACATCGGATTTAAATTCTTTGCCCATAAATGAGAACTTTTTGTCGTATGCTTTTTTTCCCTAAACACCCATTTTTTGGAGTTACAGGGCATTTCGGGACATTTTTTGGGCAAATTTCAATTAGACACTGTAGGCGTTACAATTATCAGATTTTCAAATCTAAAAGTCCCTTGAGAGAAGAGATCAATACCTTTTCATGGATGTGCCAAATCACCCCTGTTGACCCAAAATTATGGGGGCCACGACCCTCTCGAAAATTTTGGGGTTCAGGATGGCCGGAAGTCGAAAATTTCAACTGGCAAGAGTATGTTTTGACTTGCTTCAGATTTGGATTCTAACTGAAAATTTACGTAAAATTTATATGGCGTATGGCCTATTTGCTCTAAATTACTTTAGAACCCCATAAGAAGCTGTATCTTATTGGTGGAAAAAGGGGCAAACCCCCCCCCCCCAAGGGGTTTTGGTGGGCTGAAAATATTTCCTTTGAATTCTTTGGGGTTGATTTACCTGTGACAGTTTTCGTCCCGAAGCTGTATTTTCGACCACTTCCGAGAAAAAGATAGTGGACGGGTGCTCTGGAACATTCGGTATATTGTGATAATGTATTTTTTCACTTAAATAGCTAAGGAGTTTTTACTGATTTCCTTTCACTAGTTTGTTTACGGAATGTCATCAACTGAAATACCTGGATCTTAGAGGCTGTTCTCATATAACACAGGAGACAATTAAAACAGCCAATGAGGCTCTGGCGTTACGTTCGAATAATCAGCCACTTCAAATAGTTGTCGGAGGTGAGTCCACACTGAATTGATTTATCAACTGCTGCTTTTAATATTTCATGCAAGGTATTTCACTATTTGAGACTTTCTCTTTCAAAAAGAGGGGAATTGATGAAGGTCGTTTTTGGGCCCACCCTGAATTTCCCATCCCTACAATTCTTTGCACATCAAAGTTCTGTGTTTTGCGAAATGCATCGTGATGTGGTCATTTTTAGTCTCTTTTCAGGTCTTACTGATCTAAAAACGGGTCTGAAGATAGAATTTGGCGAAAAATGCGAGTTTTGTGGGTTTGCGATCATTTGCCGAAAAATCCGCAATTTTCTTCTAAATCAGCCTTCAGGCCTACGTGTAGGCGAATATTACACCCAAGATGACCAAACCAAGATCCACGGTGTAAAATATAATCCGCCGTTGAGCTAAATATTAGACAGTTGAAGATAGATGGAGCAGGCCTAAAAACAGCCCTCATTGATACCCCTCCTTTGAAAGACCTCCTTTTAATGGAGTTGTATTCTGCACAGTGAGGTGGCACAGGTGAACATGGTGAAGTATTACAGTTGGATTTTTTATTTTGACAATTATTCATATTTTACTTTTTTAACTTAAGAAGCCTGTTCATACGGTTTGTGTGGATTAGGAGGATACAAAACAAAACGAAAAAGCTGTCTCGAATTTTGGTTCCTAGTAGAAATTCTGGAGAAATTTAAAAGGTCCTCACCCCACCCCCTTTATAGCCCAAAATAGTGATTCTTTTTACTTTCCTTTTTAAGCAATTTCAACATACTTTGTACATTTGGAACATTGGCTCTCAGTAGAAAATCTAAAAGACTAAATACCAAAGTAGAGCCGTGCAAAACTTGCAGACAATCTGATTATTTTTAGAGGGTGCTCACCCACCTCATCATTGCAACGATTTTGCACGTTTTTCCACGGATTTCAGTCCACTTCAAGCTTTAAAAAGTACTTTCCGACAGCATCCAATTTTCAATCTCAACTCTGTCCCATTCATTAATTCTTTATTTTGCACTGTAAACTGTCGAATTTTTTTTTACTAACTCAAATGAGCGCTGTTATTTCAAGTAACAAGTGGCCAGGTTAAGAGAAAAGTACTGTTACTGATTCTTTAAGGCTTTGCAAAGAATCAGGATGAACGTAAGCAAATATTTGTCTAATAAATAGGCTTTTTTAGACACATATTCTGCCTCAGGTACACAAATTCTGTATTTTTATGGAGTTAAATTGATTTCTCATTCGTAGTGAGCATCCTATATATAGTTTAAATTTTTGTTTGACAGCCAACATACTGACAGATTGGTGTACAAATTAAAGCAGAGAAACAGTGGGATAGAGGTGAGATTTTTTCTCGCTTCAAAATTGTTGTCTGCCGCGTAGCATGTTTAATTTTTTAAATGAAGTCCGATCATTTGCTTTTCTACGTCCTACCACACAACTATATTTTAAAAATCATACCTGTCAAGGGTATCTTGAAACAATTATAATAACATTTGATCAATTTATCATTGATTTAAATGAAAAAAATTTACCTACAATATTAATCGAAGGAGGTATAGGTGAGTTTCCTATACTTAAAAAAAATAACGTAATTACTGCTATTGAAACTACTGAGAATAAACCCCTATTAATAATAATCTATACTTAATCCTTTGGCGTTCATTCAAAAATTAATCAATTTTAATAAGTTAATAGAAGATTTAGTTAAATAATAAATAATATTACTTTGTCAAATTAAAGTCAGAATACTAAACCTAATCTTTAAATGTCCAAAAATAACTAAATAAAAGTATGTCAATAACACTGAAAAAATGGTTGGAAAAAATCTTTGTCTTTATAATCTAAAAAGAGAAAAAAAGTTATAAAATGATTAATTATAAATCATAAAATTATGTAAAATGTAACAAAAAATTATTACAATTAATAAAATCATCATAAAATTATTTATAATTTATTTAGTTTTTAGAATTAGGTTAGCAAGACTATAATTTATTGCTTAATAAGTTGATATTTTATAGAGGTCTACCTTATTTTACTTAACAGCATTTGTGCATCAGGAAAAGGATACAAAGTTCGTGGAAGGATAGTTCCAGGAGTTCATTTGTTGAAAAAAATGTATTCAAAAGTTTATGATAGCAGAGAACTACCCAATTACTGAATTTTTTCTGAGGTAAAAAATAACTCTATAGATAAGGTCGTTCTACTAATTTTGGGGGTTAAACCATCATTTTTAATTATTGTAATGGCTTGAACCTGGTTTAATTAGACAATGAGTCTTTTGCAGGGCAAAAAATACAGCCAAATGAATACACTTTTTTTAGTAAAATTTCACGAAAATCACGTTGGACACATCGAAAAAGTCTGAAATCCTTTCCTTAAGGCACAATTTGCGTAGTTTGTAAAACGCTTTTTCGAGTTTCCCGTACCTGGGGGCAGCTTTTCTCTGTCAACGCCGACCAGGTTTGCACAGACAGTAGAGTCAGAAATTCATTTGAGTATACAAACGATTTCACTAACTTTTTCCATTGTTTGATTTCAATTGTTTTCAAGTGTTTGTTACCTTTGTCTTAATGTATGTTGCAAAAATAGAAGCTTTCAACGAATCAAAATCTTACGCATGGAAACTTTATCAGCTTGTGAGATTCTTTGTTTATTTAGGTTAGATTCCTTCTCGGGCAAACCTGACCAAGAAAAACTGCCCGCATACAGGGTAAATTTGAAAAAAATCATATTAACAAATATTCGCAGATTCTGCGCCAAGGAGTAGATTTTAGACATGTCCTATGTGCCCAGCGTGATTTTTGAGCGAATTTACCCCAAGAAAGAGTAACCAAGGCTGTATCTCTTGCGTGCAATAGACCCATTATCATTCATAACTATTTAAAGAGCCTCGCCAAAAAGTGGTGTTTTTTCGCCCCTTTTTTTATACCCGAGTTGGTCAACCGGACAGTGCTCAAATGAAAGCCTATGGTAAGGCAAACTTCCATGCAAAGTTTCAACTTGAAGTGACCCCTGGTTTAGGCTGTACAGCGTTGCCAATTTTCCAGTTTCATGTGCTAAAATCAAGGATATTGGACTATTAGTCCGG